TCTCTCTCTCTGTCTCTCTCTCTGTCTCTCTCTCTGTCTCTCTCTTTCTCCTCTCTGTCTCTCTCTCTCTCTCTCTCTCTCTCTCTCTCTCTCTGTCTCTCTCTCTCTGTCTCTCTCTGTCTCTCTCTCTCTGTCTCTCTCTGTCTCTCTCTCTCTCTCTCTGTCTCTCTCTCTCTCTCTCTCTCTGTCTCTCTCTCTCTCTCTCTGTCTCTCTCTCTGTCTGTCTCTCTCTCTGTCTCTTTCTCTCTGTCTCTCACTCTGTCTCTCTCTTTGTGTCTCTCTCCCTGTCTCTCTCTCTCTGTCTCTCTCTCTCTCTCTCTGTCTCTCTCTGTCTCTCTCTCTCTCTCTCTCTCTCTCTCTGTCTCTCTCTCTGTCTCTCTCTCCTTCTGTGTCTCTCTCTCTCTGTCTCTCTCTCTCTCTCTGTCTCTCTCTCTCTCTGTCTCTCTCTCTCTCTGTCTCTCTCTCTCTGTCTCTCTCTCTCTCTCTGTCTCTCTGTCTCTCTCTCTCTGTCTCTCTCTCTGTCTCTCTCTCTCTGTCTCTCTCTCTCTGTCTCTCTCTCTCTGTCTCTCTCTCTGTCTCTCTCTCTCTCTGTCTCTCTCTCTCTCTGTCTCTCTCTCACTGTCTCTCTCTCTCTCACTGTCTGTCTCTCTGTCTCTGTCTCTCTCTCTCTGTCTCTCTCTCTCTCTCTCTGTCTCTCTCTCTTCTCTCTCTCTCTCTCTCTCTCTCTCTCTCTCTCTCTCTCTCTCTCTCTCTCTCTCCCTCTCTCTTTCTCCCTTGTCGTAATATCTGGACTCTATTATGCGTACACTACTGTACACTTATGACTGTATGCGTTGCATGCTGTATGTACGTCACACAGGCCGTTTCCCGTAGGCCAGAACTTTGATGTGCTTCACTGGCTCGGGACGTCTCTGGTTTTTCACTTACCTACTGGTTGTGCATTTCTTGCTCCTCATTAGTTTACTCGTCCATGTCTCCTTGTCCATATTGAGAATAATACTACATGGTGTCAGAATTGGGGCTGCTGATAACGATGGCTGGATTTTCTATTCCATCCATGAGATGGGAGTCAGACAACCTTCGTTTAGGCAGTATTGTGAATTGATTTCCGGAGGTCCGTACTCAGCGAAGTCGGCGAAAGTGCAATGCTCATATATCTTCCTTTGGATAGGCCAACCAGGTGTGGACATCTACAATTCCTGGACATTTGCAGACGAAAGTAAACGCGTGGCTGGCCCGTTTTCAGCTTCAACAGCAACGGCAAAATGTGGGGAAACCACTGACGATTTTCTATGTCGCTGTCGGAACTTGGCAGTGAAGTGCAAATTTACCGATGCCGGTGAAGTCAACACCCGTTTGCTAGAGCAGCTGATTGTCGGCACCCGACATAAAACGGTACAGGAGAAGCTGTTGGAGAAGGGCGACCAGTTGTCGTCTCTTGACGAAGGGCTGGAAGTTGCGAGGACACATGAAGCTACTGCTACCCAGATGGCTCAGCTAACCGGGTCTCGCTCCGCCAGTGTTAGCCCTGCTGACGTATCCTTTGTTAAAATGTCTGCTCCGAAGAGATCCAAACATTTCAAGAAAAAATAACAAAAAAAGAGTTGTCAATTCTGTGGGAAGGAAGACCATGATCGTGCAGTATGCCCAGCTCGATCAGCTGAGTGTAATTTCTGTAAGAAACAAGAGCACTTTGCTACTGTGTGCCAGAAGAAGCAACGATCGTGTGACGCTGTACATACTGTACCGCCAGATAGGCATGCCCCTGGCATGTTTCTTGGCAGCGTCGATGCCGGACGCGACCCTTGGTCTGTGTCGGTGGAAGTCAACAATTCCCCAGTCACGATGAAGATCGACACCGGAGCCGATGTCTCTGTAATTCCAGCAAGTGTATTCCGCCTGTTAGATGTGCAGGCCCTGCGACCCAGTCGTCGTACCCTGATGTCTGCTAACTCAAGCGTCCTCGACGTAGCTGGCGTGTTTGACGCAATGGTATCACATGCGGGCAAGTCGTCTCGACAAGAGATTTTCGTTGTCAACAACCTCAAGCAGGCCCTCCTAGGACGCCCTGCAATAGTCGCCTTGGACCTCCTGGACGTCAAGGCTGACATCTCTGAAGTATCGAGCGGTATTCGCGACACCGCGACAGCACGAGCTGCATACCGCGATTTGTTCAAACCTCTCGGCAGGATCACTGGAGAGCCTCACTGCATTCGCCTCGAAGAAGGCGCCAAACCATTTGCTCTGTCCTGCCCGCGCGACAATGTGGCAATACCGTTAATGCCGATTGTGAAAGCGGAGCTTGAGAAGATGGAAAAGCAAGGCGTCATCGTCCCTGTCGATGAACCAACTGATTGGTGTGCTGGCCTTGTTGTTGTCGCCAAACCTGAAGGGGAGGCAGTCCGTCTGTGCGTTGACTACACACGTCTCAACCAACACGTTCGTCGTGAGCAGTTTGTCTTGCCGGCGGTAGACCACACGCTGGGTCAGTTGGGCGGTGCCAAGTATTTCACAAGGCTTGACGCCAACTCTGGGTTTTACCAAGTGCCCTTGGCCAAGGAATCCCAGAAGTTGACCACGTTTATCACCCCGTTTGGGCGTTTCATGTTCACGCGTCTACCATTCGGTATTTGTTCGGCTCCCGAACATTTTCAGAAACGAATGGCTCGGATCTTGAACAGTGTGGTTGGTACCGCATGTCAGATGGACGACGCTCTAGTGTTTGGTAGCACTGAAGAAGAACATGATAACCGGCTGCACCAGGTGCTACAATGGCTCAGCGACAACGGCGTCACACTCAACCCGGACAAATGTCTCTTCAAAGTCACTTCTGCCAAGTTCTTGGGTCATATCATCGACCAAGACGGCATCCACTCTGATCCCCAGAAGGTGCAGGGCATTCAAGACTTCACGCCATGCCAGGATGTCTCGGATGTGAGAAGCTTTCTCGGCCTCGTCAACCAGCTTGGCAAGTTCTCTCCCTCACTTGCTTCCGTCTCACAGCCGATCCGCGACCTTCTCAAGAAAGGCAATGCTTGGTCCTGGGGATCCTCTCAGCAATCGGCATTTGAAGAGATTAAGGCTCTTCTGTCGTGTACGCCTGTTCTTGCTCTGTACTCTCCCGAGTACCCAACTATTGTCTCTGCAGACGCCTCGAGCTATGGTCTCGGTGCCGTTATCAAGCAGCAACAGCCGTCCGGCGATTGGAAACCCGTATCATTCCAGTCTCGTGCACTACTGCCGGCAGAGCATCGCTATGCTCAAATAGAAAAAAGAAGCTCTTGGCCTCACCTGGGCTTGCAACCGATTCTCAGATTACCTCATCGGTAAGGCCCTCATCAGACTACGTACATAGAAAATCCAGTACAAAGTCACATAAAACCTAAAAGGCAACATTTTTCCATGCCTGCATTCAGACTACACATTTTACATGCAATATACAGGCAACCTTTGACCCTACGAAATTGCGCAAGGGGCCTGGGATGTGTGAAAGCAGCGGACAGTCGTACCCGGGTACAAAGTTCGTACAACTGCCTGGTGAAAGTACGATAAATGCAGGAAAGTTGCCTTGTACAAGGGTTGGCACCCTGCCTGAAAGGATTGGACAGCTTTTTAGGCTTCCCGCCAGATTCCTGTTGTTGTCTTGGAAACTTCTATGTAAATGTGACTTATAGGCTGTTTTGTACCTAGTCTGAAGCGGGCCTAAGAGATTCACGCTGGAAACCGATCACAAGCCTCTGGTGCCCCTGTTCAGCACTAGTGCTCTCGACTCTATCCCTCCACGTGTACTTCGGTTCAGGCTCAACCTGATGCGATTTGATTTCGACATCGTACACATCCCTGGCAAAGATCTAATCGTTGCTGATGCCTTATCTAGGTCACCTGCGTCGCGTCCTCTGTCCGCTGATGACGTCCGCCTCCTCGACGACGCAGAAGCTTTTCTCGACAGTGTGGTTTCTCATCTCCCTGCGTCCGATGCAAGACTGAGTGAGATTCAACACCAGCAGGCTCAAGACCCAGTGTGTCAACATCTTGTGCAGTACACTCTGTCCGGTTGGCCAAGCTTACAGTCTGCTCCAGTGTCCGTTAAGCCCTACTACGCATCCCGGCAGTCATTCTGTATCACAGATGGCCTGCTCCTGTACGGTTCCAGAATCGTCATCCCGGACCAGCTCCATCTAGAAGTCCTCCAGCAGCTCCATGCTGGTCACCTCGGCATCACGAAGACCCGCGAAAGGGCTCACCAGTCAGTTTGGTGGCCAGGTCTAAGCGCCCAGTTGGCTGATATCGTGTCCAATTGCCAAGCCTGCGCTCGTGACAAGCCAACGCCAATGGAGCCCCTGATATCCTTTACGTCTTCCTGAGTTCCCGTGGCAGGAATTCGCTGCCGATTTCATGCAGTTTCAAGGCTCTCAGTACCTAGTTGTCGTTGACTACTACTCCCGATGGATCGAGCTTGCTCAGATGTCCCGTACTTCTGCAGCTTCTCTCATCACGCAACTGAAGTCCATGTCTGCGCGTCACGGCAATCCAAATGTGTTTGTTTCGGACAATGGTCCCCCATTCACAAGTGCAGAGGTTTCAGCATGGCTTCAAGAGCAAGGAACCACCCAGCGCACGAGCAGCCCTCTTTATCCGCAAGGCAACGGCTTAGTGGAACGCGCAGTGCAGACCCTAAAGCATTTGCTGGTGAGGGGAGGTGATCCGTATGTTGCTCTGCAGAGCTATCGTGCCAGTCCACTAGCACATGGCTTCAGTCCTGCGGAGCTCCTCATGGGCCGCCGCATCCAGACGCGTTTACCCATGTCGGCAGACGTTCGACGGCCACACCTCGTAGATCGCACAGCGTTTGCCGCTAAAGACGCCTCTCTGAAGTCCCGGCAAGCGTCGGATTTCAACTCCCGCCATCGCGCTCTCGATGCTCCGCCACTGGTCCCGGGTATCCCTGTCTTTGTTCCGGATAGGAAAGAGCCTGGTATTGTCACTGCTGAGCATTCCACCAGGTCGCTTATCGTGGAGACGCCGTCCGGTTCGGTTCTCCGCCGAAACCGCAGTGCCCTCATCGTCGATCCGCCTGCAGGTCCTGCTAACGCTGTGGACAATGGTGAGCCAGCGTCACCCGTCCAACGTCCATCTCCAGCTACCCCCGACCCGGAGCGTTCCGGTAGAGTTACCCGTTCTGGACGTGCCGTTCATACTCCTATCAGATTCCGTTAATCATTTAGCGTTACTCTTTCGTCTTCAGCATTATTCCTGTTTTGCTAACTTATCGCTCTCTTGCTGCGCGCCCTGAAAGGGGAGATGCTGTAATATCTGGACTCTATTATGCGTACACTTATGACTGTATGCGTTGCATGCTGTCTGTACGTCACACAGGCCGTTTCCCGTAGGCCAGAACTTTGATGTGCTTCACTGGCTCGGGACTTCTCTGGTTTTTCACTTACCTACTGGTTGTGCATTTCTTGCTCCTCATTAGTTTACTCGTCCATGTCTCCTTGTCCACATTGAGAATAATACTACATCCCTCTCTCTCTCTCTCCCTCTCTCTCTCCCTGTGGACGAGAGGACGAGTGCAAATCTGAGAACGCCACCCCAGCATGTGCCACGAAAACTTGCCTGATTTCCCAGCGCTTGTGTGCGAGCACGCATTGGATCCACTCAGGTTAACTCCGGCCGATCAGACTTTTCATAACTTCACCTGCCGGCGGGATGCACTGCCGTCGTGTAAATCACCTCTAAAGGCCGATTCACAATACAACTTTCTGCGACACGACATGCGACTTGCGACACATGCGACGAGCTGCGACAGCGACACACGGTTCACAATATTCTTCATGTTTGCGACATACTCATGCACAAGTAGTACTATGCACGTGCACTGCATGTGCACCCAGGGTCGAAACTGTACTCCATTTGTGTATGTCGCGTGTCGCATGTCGCCAAAGTTGAACTTTCTTCAACTTCTGCGACAGGTGCATTGCGACAGCTTGCGACAGCTCGCGGCAGGCAATTTCTTGTCGCAACTGTCGCAAATCGCGTGTCGCGTCGCCGAAAGTTGTATTGTGAATCGCCCTTTAGATGGGATTTAGCTCTGGGCATGGAGATACTGTCATTATTGCCGCAGTCATTACTCTCGGTGTTGACTTTGAACTCGGACATCTCTTATCCGGGCACCTTGGGACCGAGCACCGCCCGTATCTCAGATTTGCCCGTATCTGGGGATAACTCATCTATCATGTATCGTACCATTTTTTTGAAGAAGTTTATTTGACACGTATTGCACATGTTCGGGATACAAAAAGAATCCTGATAAAAGTGTGTTTGGTACACAGGTACGAGGTTAGCAGTGACAAATAAGCACTTGCGCATACAGAAAAAAAAGTTCAAACCCTCAAATTCGAAGCATTTTGCGACAGAAACTCAAGCTGAAGATGCCCGGTAGAGAGACTAGCGTGTATCTGAGGCGTCCGGAAAAGAGACGTTCGAATGTATTTGTATTGTCCTGTGCTTGTGGTATCTCTTACAGCAGCGGGGCAAAGTTCTATTTTACATGTGCTGTTCTGTGCTTGTGGTATCTTACAACGGGGCAAAGTTCTGTGTACATGAGATGTACTGTTCTGTGCTCGTGGTGTATCTTAAATACAGCAGCGAGGCAAAGTTCTGTGTCTTTGCTTCTGGTATCTTTAAATCAGCACAATGCTCTATAAATATGCGTGTAGATGATTGTATTGTTCTGTGCTTGCGGTATCTCTTACAGGAGCGGCGGGGCAAAGCTCTAACCTGTACGACCGGACTAGCAGGAGTCCAGTGCCGAGCACTTCACACACGCCCGGACACGCGTCTCCCGGGAGTTGTCATGATGGCCAAATCACCCCTAACCCAGGGTCGCGGCGATCGACGTATCACTCCGCCACGGGCTCTCCCTTGAGTCACCAGAGCAACTTGACAGCCAGGAGCGATGCCAGTGAGCAGTACGATCTTCCTGAGAGAGGACACGCGTGTTGTAAGTGTGTGGGTCGTGTTGTGCAGTTGTGCTCCGTGAACTCCGACCCAGTTCAAATGTGGTGCCCGGAGTACATAATATGTGGCACCCAGAGTAAATATGTGGCGCCCAGAGTACATATGTGGCACCCAGAGTACATATGTGGCACCCAGAGTACATATGTGGCACCCAGAGTACATATGTGGCACCCACAGTACATATGTGGCACCCACAGTACATATGTGGTGCCCAGAGTACATATATGGCACCCAGAGTACATATGTGGCACCCTCAACTTGCATAGCCCGTGATGTCGTGCGAATGCGGCTGGACGTACACACACAGTCCTGCAATCAGAACAGATCCAGGGCGCCAGTTTAGCGGCTCTATGTCAGATTTCACCGAGCATAACTGCAGTGTAGCGCTCTCATGTATGACTGACTCCCTACAATTACCCAGCTGCTAACCTCTGTCCCGGTCAGTGGGAGCTTTGACGTTGGTTTCATTGGCTGTGCCGTAAAGCTCGAGCTGAAATCCTGAAGTCAAAATGCTTGGCTTGGATGTTATGCATATACCACGTGGTTTTCAAACACAGCATGGTTCTTGTGGGCCGGCCCGGATGTCCTTATTCTCCAGGTTGACGGTATTGGCGTATAGTGCAAAAGTCATAATAATAATTGTGACTTTAGCAGCCAAGCACTAAATCTACTGAATTAACGAGAAGAAACCTGTTGTTAAAATATGAAACGTTAGACAGTTAGTTATAACTCGTGACATGTTGTCCTTATTCTTGTATTAAGCTGTGTTCACAACTGGCGCGTGTACGCGTGAAACCACGCGTTTGTGCGTATTTTTGCTGGCTTTTGGGGCGCCATGCGTATGGAAACGCGCCGAAATGGAAATTCCAACATGTTGGAATTTTCAGCGCGTATCAGGCGCGTACCAGCGCACATTCACTGGTGGGGTCAAAAAATTCGTACTCGAAGGTGTCGCACGCGCTGAATACGACTCGAATTGCTGTTTTTATAGAAAGCCTGAACGCGCGTTTGGACACGCATGAACCGCAAGCGTACCGCGTCCACGCGCCAGTTGTGAACGCAGCTTTACCCGCCAGTTGTGAACACAGCTTTACCGTTGGACAGAAGTCGATACGAGTACTTTTCTCTCATAGGTCGGTGTTGAGCAATGAGAAAAAATGATAATCTGTGTTGAGCGGCGAGAAAGAATGCTAATCGTTAGGCTTTGGACACGTTAACTGGGCCACTTTACTCATCTTTAGGAAATGGTTAATGTTACACCTCGTTAGAATAATGGCTTTTACAGTGCTAGTACATCCGTTCTTTGCTTTTTCTTCCATCTGGCAGCCCCTCACTCTGACCATTACCAGCATGCGAACAGAGCTCTGATGTTGAGCAACTCACCCACATCGACACATTCGTCGTCTCCCTGTAGGCCGTTGTCACCAAGTTCAATGTATCACTCATCGGCAAATTCTGCTTTAAGTCCCCATGGCAACGCGGCGATGAGGAGTGATGTCGGAGAGCAGTATGATGTTGCTGAGAGGGGACATGCTTATAGTAAGTGCCGATGTGTGTGTGTGCGTGCGTGTGTGCGTGCGTGTGTGTGTGTGTCAGAGTCTGAGTCTGAGTGTCTGTGTCTGTGCATGCACATGTTTGTGTGTGTTTGAGCGTGCACGCACGCATGCACTTGCATGTTGGCGTGTGTGTTTGGCGGGGCCGGTTGGGCGCGAATGTAGCTGTGAGTTTCAACTGTAGAACGGGTAATTTTAGCCACGTAAAAACCCTAGCGAATTTAGCGATCGACTCATTTTCGCTGAAGTTTCAAATCGCTAATCCGTTGAGACATTAGTAGTGCACTGGTGATCTGTGAGTACAATGCAGTACTACATCATAGTACAGTCAGTATCGCCTATAGCGTTGGTGTTTGATTTTGAGAATTTTATCACTATAAGCGATATATCACTATGACCGATACTGCATGCAATGTATGCGAGTGGGGTGTCCAACGACTCAGGGCGCCGTGCACATACGCACGGCATAGCTGGCCACAGATCATGTCACACAACATGAGCATTTCCTCACGATGGAGGCATATTTGGCAACTTGTACAAGCAGAACTCACCAAACAACACTGGACAAGTTAGTTCTTCACGAAGAAGTAACACCCTGTTCTCCTCTGACACCACTTGATTTTACATCAATCACTATAATCGATGCAAAAATAATGTAACAAAGGTCTTTTGAAAGAAGAATTTGATCACTATTTGATCACTATAGGCGATATATTACTATAGACGATTATTACTATACGCGATAACTGTGTATACTTAGTTATGGCAAATGAAAATGAATTTGAGAAATTGATCACTATATCCGCTATATTACTATAGCCGCCAACCTTATAGGCGATACGTACTGTACATTGTAGTAGTAAGTAGTAATATTAGTACTAGTACAGTCAACTTCGCTAATAACGACTGCGGATATAACGACAAATCGCCGGAATAACGACAGACTTTCCATGCCCAGAGCAAAGTCCATTCTACCTGTAGTACATATAATGAGACTTCGGGTATAACGACACTTCGCGAATAAGGACACTTTTCTGATGCCCGGCCGAATGTCGTTATACGCAAAGTTGACTGTAGTCTAGCTCTGCAGTCGTGGCAAGTGAAATCCGACACTTGCCATAGGGGACAGCGCCACAAATGGTCATCAATGATGTAATGCACTGCACCGGGTTTGTACTATAGAGCCGTATCAAGAATACATAACCCCCCAGAGTGTGCAACGCCTGATCCAGCTCTGCAAAGGGTCTTGGTCGAGCGGAATCGGATCTTTGCGTCATTATACCGTACACCTCTGAGGGGAACCCGGGGAGTCGCGGGTACTCTCAGATCAAAAACAACGGTGCCCTGCCTCGAGACCGGCCTTGCGCTGGTGTGGAGTGTACGCATGACATCAGAAGATCCGATTCCGCTCGACCAAGACCCTATGCAGAACTGGATCGGCGTTGCACACTCTGGGGGGTTATGTACTCTTGGCCGTATGTATCCCAAACAGATCGAAAGGTCACAGTGTGGATACACGCAGTTCACAAACATAGCACACATAATAGGCCATTCACACGACGTGTGACCAAGATAACACTTGCAAACAGTGAGCCAGTTCACACGGTGCTGGGCAAACTTTGCAAGCCTTGCACTCGTCAATGTATCCATAGTGATCTCCTGAAAATGCCGGGAAATTTGATATTTTGAACTTTCCATTTTCCTTTTGAATTCTTCTTCGAGGAAAATCATTCCTTTCGATTTGGTAGTTCGTTTTGATTGGTTGTCACCTTGTTTGAAGAATGGCAGCTTCGAGTATGTTGGCTCTGCTGGCTATGCAGTCGCAAAGTGATGTTCTCTCTCGTAGAGGATCGATTGCGGGCAAATTTAATGCAACCCGAAGGAGATGGCAATCGAGGGATATTCTCCCAACTCCATGGAGTCCATCAAGACGACCACATGTGGTATCACATGACGACCACATGTGGTATCACATGACGACCACATGTGGTATCGCTCCAGTCTGTAGCTCTACTGGATGCATTTGACTCCTCGCGTCGTGAAAGGCGATTCTGGACTGCTCACCTAGAGGGTGAGAACAATGTGGAACATGGGAAATCGAGGTGAATGGCAGCTGGGCGCGTCTCGGGATTCTCTATCCAGACGTGGAGGAGAGCCGATTTTATCAGCGCTACAGGGTGAACAAGCCCACCTTCAAGAACATCGTCGACAAACTGGGACCTGCGTTGGTGTAGCAAGACACTACTAACATGCGGCAGTCTATCAGCCCACCCAAACGTCTGGCAATTTTCCTGCATTGGATGGCGCAGGGGTGTGAGTTCCACCAACTGGCAACGGAGTATCGTGTGGGGACATCGACGGTCCACAAGATTGTTCACGACATCCTGCCTCTGATCTGCGATATGGCTCGTGATGAAATCGTGTTCCCTACCTCTGCAGAGTCACTGCAAATGACAATGAGAGGGTTTGAAAATCTCTCTGGCCTTCCCGGGTGTGCTGGTGCCATCGACGGCACATTCACGCATATTTGCAAACCGGTCTCATATGGCGATGCTTACTTTTCCCACAAGCAGTGTCCCGCTATTCTCGTTCTGGCGTGTGTGAACAGTGCTGGCCTCATAACCTACACAAGTGCTGAACTGCCGGGGTCAGTTGGTGACGCGTCGGCATACAACAACAGTGCGCTGAGGGAGAACATCAGCAGTGGAGAGTGGCTCTCGGGTGTGTCGACACCAGTGCGCGGTGCGCAAGTTTCTGCGTACATTTTTGGAGATGGTGCATTCGCATTTTCTAAACAACTGATGAAGTGCTACACCAATCGTCCTCCGCAGCAGCAGACTGAGGAGCAACGCCGTTTCAACTTCTGCCTTTTTCGTACGAGGAGAGTTGTCGAGAGCGCCTTTGGACGACTGAAAGCTCGATGGCGTGTTGTGTGCCGCAACTTCATCCGAGATCCAGTGTTTGCCGCAGATGTCGCCATTGCAGCTTGTGTTTTGCACAACGTCTGCGAACGTTCAGCTTGTCCGTTCGACAATGAGTGGCTTGTGGACGTCGGTGACGTCAACGGTGAGCCCCATGAAGGCGAAGGTGATCCAGTTGAAGAACAAGAACAGCACGATACTCATACAGCAGAACAGCTACGGTCATTGCTAGCAGATCATGTATCTGCCACCAACCGGTACTGATAATGATTCTGGTCAACTAACTTTGCCACAATCGTAATAAATCCTTTTTGTCGATACTGATCAGCTTTGTCACACAGTGTTGTGAAGGTCATAAATAATTGTTGTTTGTGCATGTTTCATATTAGTCTGTCCTGCTTGGAAGCGGACGGATTTTTCCAACCGTGCTGCGACCCACAGTTAATTGGGAACTCGAGGCCTGGCATGAGTAAAACATGGATGTGGCAAATGGGATTTAGGTCTTTGGCCTCTGGTTGGTGGATCTGATCTATCCTCCCCCACCGTTTAGGAGCCGCATCTGACGCCTGATCATGGGGTGGTGGCGTCCCACGGAAGCGGAACAGTGGTTCTTGACCAGGGAGGTGTACGACTCCTTGTTCTTGACCTGCCCGGTACGCGAACCCGTCGAATTTTGTTTTGTTTTTGTTGTTGTCATGTACACTGATGTCATGATGCTCAAGCACTGTCTTGTAGCACTCGCACATGAGCTAATTTCTTGATTTACCCGCTTCTCGACTCTTTTGTGTTTGACTTGTCTTTGTGCGGCCATCAGTAATTCAGTTCTTCCAAAACTTTACTGCGCGTGGAATTTGAAATAGTTACTCTACAAGTAGCAGTGTGCTTATGAGAACCCGAACACCATGCAGTTGGATATGTGCAGAATGTTTGTGCGTGGTGGCGTTCATCAATTGGCTCTCCCACTGAAGTTACACACACACACACACACACACACACACACAGGGAACAGAGGGTACGGGTACCTTATTATCACACCGTAATACTCATTCACAGTGTGAGCAGATTACGCCCATGATTAACGAACAACTCAAATATTTTTTTGTGAATTCGGTACTCCCTATACAAAACCGTGGATAAGAGTTCACGTATACATTATCTGTACGGAAGAGAAGTATGCATGTAGCAGACACGCACGGGGTCAAAACAAATTTCAGTTTATTGAAAAGTGTATACAGAGAAATGAGAACAATAGCGAATAATAATATAGAATAACATAAAACAATATCGTTGAACGTATTGACGAGTCGGCTACAAATTGTACTTCTGCATGAGCGCAGCCATAAACGCAGCATTGCTTTGTTGTCTGCTGCAAGGCCTGCGCGTGCCGTTGTTGACCCTCTCTTCCAGTGCTGTCATGACCGCTATGTCTTCGCGTCGCCTTTCTGATTATACTTTTTCCTTCTCAGCATCGCGCTTGTCCAAGTAGGCAGCCCACTGGGTCTGCATGTTGACCTCATGCTCGAACTGCCTTGACTGCAGCTCAAGGTTGATGTCCTTGAGCTCCCGCTAGAAAGCGACCTGGCTCTCGCCTTTGCGGCCTGTCCCCTGTGCTACAGGTTATTTGGCAGCAACTGTTCGTTGAGGGGTCTCCGGCAGCTCAGTGACGTCGGTCTCTGCAAGTACGGCACTGTCGCCAACAGAGGCAGTTGATGCGGATTGTACTACTGGCGTTGAAGGTAGGCTGATGCAGCTATTGTCATCATCAGCGTCCCAAACGGCATCACTGCTGGTGCTTCTGCTGGTATCGCCGCTGGCGCTGCTGCTGGCTACGCCAAATAGGGCATCGTCCAGCTGTTGGCGCTGGCTGACATACGGCAAAAGGCGCTTGGGGGGAGGCCCTAGATCAGGTGACGGTGGTCGTGACCAGCATTGCTGCAGTACGGGTGTCGGGACTGATGAAGACGAGGGCCCATCCGGCACGGGCACCACCTCAGGTGCGCGCCTTTCGCTCACAGCCACCTCTCTGCAACTTCTGGGACCCCACGTTGGGTGGTCTTTGAAACACTTGTGGAAGGTACGGAAGTTACTCCACTGCGAGTATGCGGCTTCCAGGTCGACACTTTCCTCCACATTGTCATTGTCACTATCGTGCCTGGAGCCGGTCTGCTTCCGGAAGTGCTTGCGGTACAGGTCCCTGCCCTTCACCTTCGCACTGTCCACCTTGTTCGATACTTGGGACGCATTGTATCGCTCCACCGAGCCAATGTCTGCAAGGTAGTCGTTCAGGCTCTTGACAACTTCGGCAACTTTCTTCGTTTTTGATATCATCTTCTTGTCATTCTTCGCAAGCATCTCACCCCAGAGCTCGAGGAACTTCTTCTCGGCATCGCTGGAAAAAACTACTTTTGGCATGTTTGCTTCTGATCGGATATCAACTTCTCGTCAACTGCTCAGAAGGCACTTCAGAATGGAAAGAGAACACTTCAGGAACACTTCAAGGTACTTGCCAACAACAGGACACACTTTGTGGCGCGCACGTTCACCAACAGTTCACCAACGGTCGCTTCAGAATGGAAGAAAAACACTTGGAAGCACTTGTCAAAAAAACGGAAGGACAACATTTGCAGCGCGCACTTTCACCTACACTTCACAATAGTTCACCAATGGTCACTTTTGCTCACTTTTGCTCACTTTTGCTCACTTTTGCTGGCGTGCAAAGTATAATCGCGAGCAAAAGGGCCTCGGCCAAGATAAAAAAATCTGTTGCTCGCGTGTGTCCAAGTTTATCGTATCCGAGTACATATCCTTGGAAACGGTACGATAAAAGTGGGCTTGCCCGTCGTGTGAATGGCCTTCAAGGAGTGTTGGTATCCAGTGCTCATTCATTTTTGCCAGCACCTTTTGAACCTTGACTGTGAACCTTGACTGTGATGATCATACGAGTAGATCTACCGAGTACGAGTTCTGTCATGAGACAGATAAAGTGGTATGTAACACATGTACTGTACGTATGCAGGGGCTGCAGACTGCATGGTGCAGTCCCTCATGCTAAGTGTCGGATTTCACTTGCCACAACTGTAGTAAAGCAATTATTTAAAAAAATAAAAAATAAAAAAAATAAATTATCGTGTCCGTTCCCGAAGGGAGCTCACGACGGCCGCTAACACCCGGTAAACCCTAGCAATTATTAACACATGTTTTATGTTTTATGATGTTCTCTCGTACTAGCACTCATAGCACTAGTACACGGTAGTGATGGTTTGTACATACAGTAGTAGAAGGCAGTATCAAAATGTGTACAATGAAGAAAAATGCAAATCGCTAAAAAAAAACCGTCGCCAACCGGTAGACAATGGGAAAACGCTAAAATTAGTAGTCGCTAGACTTTTACCCGTTCTACAGTACACGCCTGAGCAATCTGTTGAGAAAACCAAGCGGACAGTGGATTTAGACATTATCAGATTATGACCCTAACGACCTGGTGACTGCCAAGAGTCAAGACAAAACTGCAGAAAACAAGCCAAATTATTTTTCTTCTTGTCTCGAGTGGGAAATTTTGCATATCTACAAAATATGTCCGTGCTAATGAACAGCATTCCATCTCTAGGCTGTTTGCAAGATTGAACTGGCAAACTCAATGCCGACTTGTTAGCTTCTCTTGCCATGCTGTTTGTTTCCCTGCATTCTCCTTGGTGCTCCCCTGCAGATGCATCGCTGTCTTTGATGGAGAGCAGCGCCTCGCCGACACCCAGCCCCGCGCCGACACCCAGCCCCGCGCCGAGTAGGCTGTCGTTCCTGAGCAACTCGTCCGGCGGAACGGTATTCATGCAGGGCGGTGGTACGGTCCACAAACCCAGCGGTGACGACGACGGTGTGTATGCCGAAGCACATAGCGTGTTCGTCGTGGACGCCTCGGCCAGCACCGGCGACGGCAGCAACAGCCGTCTGGCATCGTCCGGCATCACCCGCGATGCCGGCGAGCGCAGCAGCGCGGATGCAGGTGTAGCGTCACCATGGCATGCCGACCCGGCTTCGTCGTGTGGCATATACACGAAGGCAGAGAGAGCCTTCACCACCACCACCACCGACGTCGTGAGTAGCATGTCTGCAAGCAGCCTGAGTAGATCAATGTCGCACCGCCACAGCGTAAAGCGCAAGCTCTTGATGTCAATGGACAGCCAGGTATCCTACTGTCAGACATTTCCGCTCGAGAACCGCCTGGAGGAGTGCACCGACAGCGGACAAGAAGACTTCTACGACGTAGCCTACAAGGACGTCTGCAGTACCGTCACTTCCGACAATAGCAGATGCACAGGTAATCAAGCGCCTGATACCAAGGAGACACCGGCGACCACTCGCGACAGCGAATGCGAAGATGCATACACTTACTGTTTCCACGACGACGAGATGGCAGCGGACAGAGTTGGTGCCCTGGGTAGCCGTGACATGGGTCCTCGGTCGCTCAGGTCCAAGTACAGGAGAACAAGTACCATAGCACAGGCGAAGGGTTCGTTCTCCGCGCTCGAGGAAACGACGGAAACCACTCCGGATGATGCCTCTTCTGGCCGTGCATCCACCGAAAGCTCAGCAACCGTACCCGTGGAAACTGTACCCATGGCAGCTACTGACTACAGCGCATGGGGCGATGAGATCTATCAGGCTGTGGACGGTGGAGATGTGCCGTCGGGAAGCCACGGCAGCAGAGCTCACATGCCAGCAGCTGCATCACGTCTCGACCATGTGCACAATGTGGCGAGAACGGACAGCTGGAAACATTTAAGACGGATGTCGAGTAGAAGCGGCACGAAGGTGAAGGGTGGTGGCGGCAGCGGTAGTGGTGGTGGAGGTAGAGTTGCCATGACAGACTTTGAGCACGCCAATTGCATGTCAGATGGACTGTATGCCGATACAGATGGCATGACATCTCCGAGTTGTGAGAGAGCTGGTCGAAGCAGTCGCGACAGTGAACTAAGCGACCCCAGTCAGGATTGGGTGGACTCTAGCGTTGGTCCACAAGACAGACAGGAGGGCGCCAGGGTCCGCAAGAGCCTCTCAATGCGCAGTCTCTCCATCAGGGTGCAAGGAGTGGGCCGGATCAGGTCAGCAACAGCAATGCCCTCTCAAGACCTCGGTGGCGACCGTTGGCCAGGCAATGATGCATTTGACAAGCAAGCCTTCACCTCCGCCTCCAAGCCAAAGAGCTGCCATAGATCATCGGTACCCGGTGCCGGTAGCAACAGTAGCAGCAGCAGTAGCAAGGATCCCGGTCGCATGTCAATGCCAAACGCGATCAGGAGCGTCATGCGAGGCATGAGACAGCTCGCCATGCCTGCAAAGCACGATATGCCCGCCTTGCAGGAACATTCACACACGTTCTACAGCCATCTTGACCGCTTCGAACCCAGCATTCCGATGTCAGCACAACATAACACTCCTCAGCTTCTTCAAGCACAGGATAAGCTGCCGACTGACCCGAAGACCAGCGGCGACAGCAGCAGTGAAGTCATCAATCAACATCTTGCAGCCAACCAGCAATACAGTCGTTTAGATGCGGCTGGGCGCTGTGAGGAAGTGGAGGGAGACTACAATACGCTGTCCAACGTCAAGACGAGTAGTTCACTTCACAACACCAAGCTGTCAGATTCGATTTTCAAACAAGATGCGTATCACGAGCTGGGTAAGGCAGTGTCAATGAATGTCGATTGTAACCCCATGGTTGACAATGCTGTGTATGAGCAGTACTGCCGCAGAGGGAACACCGGTGGAGACATGCGCGCCGCTGTCAATGGATTGGAAGAGACAATCGCGAAAAGAAACTTGATGTCCGAAAACGTTCTGTACGAACAGGGGCGGTTTGACAGTGATGCTGGCAGCAATGATGCTATGGCTTCGAAACAGACAATTGCCAAACGTAACTCAATGTCTGATAACATTCGGTACGAACAGCAATGGCTTGATAGAGATGCTGGCAATGATGTTATGGCTTCTAAAGAGAATGCCGCAAAGCGTAACTCAATGTCTGATAACATTCTGTACGAACAGAGCCAACTTGACAGAGATGCTGGCAATGATGATATGGCTTCCAACGAGAATGTCGCAAAGTGTAACTCAATGTCTGATAACATTCTGTACGAACAGAGACAACTTGACAGAGATGCTGGCAATGATGATATGGCTTCCAACGAGAATGTCGCACAGTGTAACTCAATGTCTGATAACATTCTGTACGAACAGAGACAACTTGACAGGGATGCTGGCAATGATGCTCTGGCTTCGAAAGAGACAATTGCCAAGCGAAACTCAATGTCTGACAATATGTTGTGCGAACAGAGACAGCTTGAGAGTGAAGTTAGCAGTGATGTGATGGCTTTGAACGAGACAATTGGCAAGCGTAACTCGACGTGTGATAACGTCCTTTCCGGACAGAGACAACTGCACAGTGATGCTGGAAATGATGTTATGGCTTCGAAAGAGAATGGCGCGAGACTTAACTCGATGACTGACAATATTCTGTATGAACAGCAGCAGCGACTGGACAGTGAGACCGGCAAGGACGAATACAGTGCTGTCTTTGAGCCAGCGTGCGACCATGATAGGTTTCTGAACATTGCTGGCCCCGGTAGGCAGCAGCAGGATTCCGCAGAGGCCCAGCACTCCACTATTTGTTAGCCCAGTGTGCAGCAAGCTACCATCTTGAGTGACCTCTTCGCAGCCCACCTAGCTTGTAGCGTGTGCCAGACAGAAATGACCGCTAGATGAGTAATCTGATGAATCTGTAACGGGAGTCATCCCTGACGAGATTGGCATGGACTTCATATCTGGAGTGTTCGTCGTCTGAACCTCAATACTCCCATGCAGGCGATCATCTGCCTCCCTGCTCCGCATCCCAGCAACTGTTTGGCCGATCAGACAGGAAATCCCCCCCCCCCCCACTCATGCACATGCACGCACACACACACACACACACACACACACACACACGCACACACACACCACCTGCCTCCCTGCTCCGCATCCTAGCAACTGCTGAGCCAATTAGATTAGACAAGCCCCCCCCCCTCATTAACACACACACACACACACACCATCTGCCTCCCTGCTCCGCATCCCAGCAACTGCTGGGCCAATTAGATTAGACAAGCCCCCCCCCCCCCTCATTAATACACACACCATTAACCATGCTCTTCTTTTTTTCAACCGCCCAAATAACCCCGTGTTTGTTGATTTGATGAAGTAAAATAATCATAATAATAGTAACCATAGCATGCAATCCCATACCATACCATGATAGCATTATGCAAACCATCTCTCTGCCAGGACCCTACAAATCCTATTGGCGCACCGCCTCCTTCCGTTCCGTGGAAATGTATATTAATGTTTGATATCAAAGACTAACCATATGCTCCCATGAAATCACCGTTATCCCCGTAGCTATGCAAAAGACGTTACTTCAGTAACGTCTGGCGCTAGCCAGGGTCCACACGGCGTTAATCCCGTGTTTGTGTGTTTGTGCCGTCGGCATGCCTGGCGCTATCCCGTACCGTACCATCAAAGATACACTATTCAAATAGGGCTTTCAAATGCAAGATCGTGACGTGAAGCAACTTCGAAGAATGAGTATGTATGCAAAGTGTACCGGGGAACGCATGCAGAGCGATAGTGAGGCTCGAATCCTCGGTTATGTCTTGAAAAAAACTAGGAGAAATGAAAAATTTATAACATCCCTATCATCGGCCTATGCTTTTTTTTCCTAGGTCATCACGGTGGTAGACGGTGTTGGATCACCCTCGAATGCAAAGAGAAAGTTACCCAATAAATTCTGCCTAAAGCTGTGTTCACAACTGGCGCGTGTACGCGTGAAACCACGCGTTTGTGCGTATTTTTGCTGGCTTTGGGGCGCCATGCGTATGGAAACGCGCCGAAATGGAAATTCCAACATGTTGGAAATTTCAGCGTGTATCAGGCGCGTACCAGCAGCGTACATGCCAGTCACTTTGACTTAGAGGATGAAGGCCGCAGACATCACGCAACTACGCTACTTGTTTGACATGTATTTACTGTGTATTTTATACCAAAAATATTGTTGAAAACCCAGAATCGATTTTCTTGTTCCTATCATCAGTGGGAAAAAATACGGAACTAAAGGATACAACCAAAGAAACTGAAGGGTGCGCACTCTTATGTTATTTCTATAACTTAGAACCTTCCAAGTTGGAAGGCTGTTGGAGTGCGCATCCAAGATATGCTAGAGCTGTTAGCCAGTTAGTTGTAGAACGTCAGTACCGTCGGTCAGTGTCGTGCAATGTTATCGCATGAGCTGATTGTTTAGTAACTGGTGGTGTTAGTGGACAGTATAGCGTAACTTGTAGTTCCTTGGTCTTTTTCTTTTGTGTAAATTAAACCGTGGCTCTCCATCTGAGCTATATGTAGGAAGGAAAAAACATTATGGATACGAGTTAAGAGTAACTCTCCATCACTGTAACATATCCGTATCCATAATGTTTTTTGTTCCTTCCTACAATTATTTATGGCTCAACAACCGAGTTTCAAATATACATAATTATACTTATTTATTTATGCAAAAGAAAAAGACCTTGGCTCTCCATCTGAGTCCATTTATTTATTTACTTATTTATTCACCATCTCCTGGCTGGTCGTAATTAGACCGTGCCAATATTAATAAGAAGTTGGTTGGTAGGTTAGCACTATCCGCAGCACCCTAGTCACGGGTAGAGTGAGGCCTTGGATTGGTGGTTTTACAGTGGCGCTGACGACAGTCATTAGCCATGGTTGGCTATAAAAAAAACCGCAATCGCCACGCAAAGTGGTCATTGGCTACCCCAGCCATGTATTGCTTGGAATAAAATAAAAAAAAAATAAAAAAAATTGGTGACAGGGTCAGAGGTGAAACTGCATTTAATAATTTTAATTACTTCTCCGAAATATAATTTTCTGGCTGGATGTGTTCGCAAAAAAGACTACTGTTCGGCCAGAGCTGAGAGTGCATGGGCCGAACAACATCGCACGTAGGTGACATAAGAGGGAAGGAAAAAAATCACTATTACTCTATCAGTGCAAGGCTCGCATATGCAGTATTGGGATTTTGGGACACTATAATCAGTGACCAAGAGTGCATAAGACCCGTACCCCAGCTTATTCATTATTTATTTTATTTCTCTTGCTTAGTATACATGTACATGTGCCCGTGAGTTGTGCGACGAGAGACGAAGAAGTACAGTGTACCAGCATCCGTAAAAAATAATTATCCTACCAGGGCCGTCCGTCTCTCTTGCGACCATCTGAACCATATCGGCCGGGTCTAGGCCTGGCTCGGACCCTCTCTGTTCTAGACTAGGGAGCAGGGGCCCCTTTTTTTGTACTGGACGTCTTCCTTCGTTGTTGTTCGACACAATGCGTCCTCCGCCTAGTAACAATTACAGTCAAGTGATCATGTGATCCAACATGTGATCATGTGATCCAACATGCATGTATGCCATGTGCGAGTACATAATTGAACCCATCCAGCACCTCTCCATGACGTCTGGCGAGCAGCTGGCACGGCAGTTATGCCAATGCAGCGTCATCTGACTCATCCCTCGTGACACAATAATGACAACCAGTCACCCACCGAGTCACTGGTGCCAGTGGTGGCAGGCATCAGCGCCTCGCGCCTCCTCATAGCCGTGGTTTCCTATTATAAACTCTGCAATCGCCACGCAAAGTGGTAATTGGCTACCCCAGCCCAGTATTGCTTGGAATAAAACAAAACAAAAATTACTTGAGTAATAATAATATCATTCCGTTCCGTGGTTGATGGCGTACTAGGCTCCAGGAGTAAGCGGATTATGCAGGCATAATATTTGGCATAATCAGGTCCTTTTTGAGAAGGAGCATAAAATGGCATTCGAAAAACAATGGCAGATGCCCAATGAGGCTGTTGTACACAACTGCTATTGAAGCCTGAAGGCATAATTTTGGCATAATCAGGTCCTTTTTGAGAAGTTGAGTATCACCTCCACCACTACAGTGCGCTGTCAGCCGACTAGACCCTCCTGCACACAACCATCACTACTGCGAGGACACTTCCGTAGACGATAATCATATTGATAACTTGTATTCCTCCAGACAGCTCTTTCGCTAATACATAGCTCATCAGTGAAGGTAGATGTTAAAATTAATGATTACAATGTATGAGACCAAACTGCTACTATTTAGGGTTTTCCGAGAAGGAGCATGAAATGGCATCCGAAAGACAAGGGCAGATGCCGAAAGGCGGGCTAACGCCCCTACATGGCTACTTCCCCTTGTCTAACCCCCAAGACGAAAATAATGACAGTAGCAGACTGGCCGAAATTTAAAAAAAAGAAAAAAAAAGGCCAATGCTCAATGAAGCTGTTATGTACCTGTAGACACTATTTTTACAGGACCATACATAGCGCTTCTTGTCCATTTGGAATAACATTTTAGCAGCCACTATAGGACATCTCCCAAAAGTTCAGCGTTTGCTTGTGAACTTGGTATTCCTCTTGCATTATTATTGTCTTGTACTTCTACAAAGCTCCCAGTCCACATCATGACAATGGTCTGAGTTCTTTTTTTTAGGACGATAATCTGTTCTTTTGGTCTTTTTGGTGTGAAGCATAACAAGCATAATTGGCTGTTTTCTCGAGCATTCTGCGAGCATCCGCTAGAACATAATCTGGTCATTTCCCGAGCATAATCCGCTTACACTAGCCCCTGGTGGATCATTAGATACTTTTCCTGGTATGTTTCATGTAGGCTTTCTATGTGCATGTGGATAAAGAAATGGAGCAGAATTGAAGTGCCTACAATAAGGCTTGTTGGCCAATTTCACTGCTTTTCGAGCAGAATCTGCCAATTTATCGATAAGGGCTAGGGACCGGCGGATTCTGCTCGAAAAGCAGTGAAATTGGCAGAACCATACAAACCTTATGGCGGGCAATTCCTTGAATTCTGCTCCATTATTTTATCCACATACCAAACATGCATGAAACTTACCAGAAAATGTACCGAATTCGGCCAAGTTTTCTGCCGGCAGAATCTGCCCGGACCCTAATAAGGGCTAACACTGCCTCCATCCTTTTTGTGTTGATGACATTGGTGTACATGTACATGTACATGATGACAGTCGTAACTGCATGACATTGTAATCATTGTCTCGGTCCTTTCAGGCTATATTATTATTACACCCACGCTTCTCATCATTACGCTGCTACGCGTTGATTGTTGTTGTTGTTGTTGTTGTAGAAGTTTATTTAACGTCGCACCACAAACAGGCGATTTCGCCTCCTTTGATACATGTGGACGACAGAAGGAATGAGAGAGAGAGAGGGGGGGGGGACAGAAGTATGGAGAGAGGAAGGGTAGAAATAAATAAGCAATCAACCTCAGGGCTACACCAAAGCAAAAACGGAATGGGAACATACTATATACAAAATAGCTTCATACATATATTGCAAAACACGTTTACTATTCTTCAGTCCGCTATACCAAAGAAACACACTAGCCGAAAAGCATTCAAACGGAGCCATGATGGGCTTTTAGCAGGGCACAGAACTGAAGGTGGCTGGGCTCGGAACGGAGATCAGGCGGGAGCTGGTTCCACAGGACTGCGCCGATGAACTGCATGGTCGCTCGACCCGCAGGACCGAGCCAAAATAGTACTCGAACGAGGTGATGTGCTGCTCCCCGAGTGCGGTCACCAGTAACTCTCACGAAGAAGCTGGTGAAGAGGGAGCTAGCTCGGGAGAACAGACAACGACGGACAAAGATGAGGAGCTTAATGTTAAACATGTCCTCCAGGGTGGTGAGGCGGAGCTGTTCAAAGATCGGGCTCGTGCGCGTCACGGTGGCAGACCGAAGAAGCCGCGGATAGCGCACTTCGTTAGACGTGTGAGGGGCTCCATGTTGCCAATTTGAAGTGACAGATAAAAGGCGTTGGAAGCGTACGACAACCTACCCTGGATCATCGACCTGTAAAACAGGATCTTTGACGCCAGGGTGAGGCTTCGGCGGCTCCGCCACAGCGCGCCTACTGACTTCCGCACCTGCTGGATTGTGTGATTGACGTGAGGCTCCCAGGAGAGCTGCCCATCTACCATTACGCCCAGGTACCGGCGTTGATTGATCTGGATTCTCGCCTACAAGGCTACATCTATCCTTCTATCCAGTCTACCACTGTACACAGTCTGTACACTGACAATCAGTTATTCTGTTCTTCCATCACCCTCGCCCCCCCCCCCCCCCCCTCCCGCCGCCTGCCCCGATCGATCTTTGTTTTGTGCATTGCATAACGCAGCCCCATATGGCCATGGCCCATACTGTGCGACCAGTCGTGTCAGTCGAGTCAAAACCTTTGAGTTTGAGGTTTTCTTTTCCAGTCGCATTGGTCACAGGCACTCCTAGGTCCTATCGTGCCTGTCTGGCTCCTGTGTTCTGCTGAATGTGAGTGCTGGGCGAAAAGCGCTCACTGATTCGATGACGGTGCAGAGGTGGTATCGCGGAGGAAGAATGTCTGTGTACGTTTCATGTCACTTTCATCACAATTAATTTTTCCGCCGATATGCTGTATAAAATTAATAATATTAACATCGTTATGCTTGTGGGAGCAAACCCATCGTTATGCTTCGTCACATTATCACCATGACATGTACTGGTTTGAGAATTAATGGTACGAAAGGCCTCATGATCCCTCATCAGATTTTCAACTGGCTTCGTTTCTTCGTGTGCTAAACCCTCCACTTTCACTTTTCATCACTCCGACCTTTGATCTGAGGCTGACAAGTGACAGGGAGCGTCTTGACGTGAGATTCTTCATGCAGATCTGTGCGACTACTGTATGCTGCAGTGGCCAGCATTGTACATCCACATGTAGATCTACAAAAAGACGACTGTATACTCTACATGCAGCATGCAGTGGGCCAGTGGACAAAAATAAAAATAAAAAAATTTCACGGTTCGCGTGAGACTCGGCTGAAAGCCGAGTTTTCCGCATCCGCCGTGGGAACGCCACCACCCTCTAGGATCAAAGGCGCAGGGCCAGTGGACAAGTGATTGAACAAACTAACTAACTTACTTGTGCAGTCCACCATAATCATCTGTAATCCACGGACCATAGGTCCGGACCAGAGGGCATAGTACATAAAATAATAATGCGGTGTTACTCGCGCTGTCTGCACAGGAATCCAGCCGGTGTCTACCGACTGACTCTGCAACACTGCGCGCACGTGCTCTGTGTCGCCAGCAGGACAGTCAAGAATGCAATCCCAGATCCTGTTGTAAGACTGAAATTCGATCTCATGGAAAAAAAATAGCGCCGGGCGCTGCGCGGTCCTAGCACCACACGCACTACTCCTGTGCACTCGAACGCGGCGCTACTTTTTACTGGCCAGGACTGTTCAGACACCATGGACACTAGTGCTAGTAGTGGTAGTACTGCGGTCGATGTTCTACGCATGCAGGTTGATCTACGTACAATCATAGAGTTGAATTATGCCGTCTACCATGCATAGATCTACGGCATAATTATACAGTACCATGGTCTGCATGGTCTATGGATTTCTCAGACGTTTCGCTCACACAGACAGAGCTAGACTAGAGTGACACTGATGACGCTGAAGTCTAGGTATGAAATCATCCGTCAATCTGTTGTGCGCCTGCCGTGCCCCACGCCACGGCCCACCACCGGTCACCATTCACCAAGTCACTGTTACTGCGCTGCGCTCATAGTCATACAACATACGAGTAGATCTACATTGGGGGATACGCACACGGGCGATGACAAGCCAAAAAATAATCTTCTTCTCGGATTCTACTTCCAGCTAGCTGCATAGTCAGTGCAGTGGACTAGTGGTGTGCCGTGTGGTGGGGACGCAGTTTGTTTGACGTTGGCTAGATTTCCTCTTAGTCTCGTCCGTCTACTACTAGAAGAGTACTCCGGGAGTCCGTTGCAAGCCGGGATGAAGACCGCCATTGTCCTGTGCCTCTGCGTGGCATTGGCAGCGCAAGGTAAGAGCAAAAAGGACGCTTCGTGCAAGCGCCTTGCAAAGATGATTGTAATAATTTCTGTTGGTAGGGCTTTGCGGGTCGGCCTTCATCCACTCTCTCGGCGTGTGATCTTCGCCGCGCTTTGGGGCTAGTTCAATATGAATAGCGGTAGTGCTCGAGATGCGCCCAGTGGGGATCCGATCCGGACCATCTGCGCACTGTTCCCTTTCCCCGCAACACGAGTGTGTACGGCAAGCGAACGAGTTCACATTCCATTCGCTCCGCCAATCGTCTTGCATCCTACCGGTGCGGGAGGCGAACGAGAGCAGCTGTAAAAGGCACTGTCCACGTTCTTTTCTCGGTTGTGGCAAATCAGGACAGTAGGTGCGGAAGCAAACCAGTTGAAAGACGTGGTCCAGATGCCAAGCATCCGCATAATGACCCTGGTTGTAATCGCGCATTTCCTGTAGTGTAGGCTTTACGATATGATCGCAAGCAGCCGAAGTATAATAACGAGTTGTCGAATGGCGACCGAAACGATCAGCGATCACAAGCGAACGAGTGTTGTGATCCAGATGAAGATGATCTTAGTGAGTGCTTTGCGGTTCGCACAAAGCGAGAACAATTATTATTTGCTGGACCCATGTGTTTGTAAATGTGTGGCAGTCGTCGTTGGAGCGTCTTTTTTGTACTTCGTTATTTTGGTAATGCAGTGTCTGCTCCAGCGCCGGGTGAGCCGGGTAATCCACCCGGTTGGGCGGCGCTTGAACCCGGTTGAAAATATAGTACCGGGTCACCTGTGACCCGGTTGGTACTTTACACTTTCGAACTTTGAAAGGACTGACTGCATGGCTTGTATGTGTCAGACTCCAGTACTTTCTTCTTCTTTCGTAATTTTCTAATTCCCGTCCTCTCTTTTCTAAATGCGGCTTATCCATTCGCCTTTATATCATTGGGCCTAGTTCCCGTTTATTGTCCGAATTAAAATAAACCAACCAACCAGTTAAAGCATGTGACTCGGCTGGTGAGACAGCGCCAGGTACATGTGTACCCGGCTCCGACCCGGTTGAAATGGTTGCGCCAGGTACACGTGTACCTGGCTGTCCTACAATCCTAGAGCAGGCATTGGTAATGTACGTGTACTGTACATTTTGTTGGTTGACAGCATATTACAAGGTGGAGGGCACACACCGTGTTCGGAAACAGCGCCCCTGAGTACAACCAGCCACGGTTGGCAGAGCCCTGCCTTGTCACATGCTTTCAACCGCCAACATGTTTTCAGCAAAACAAGTTACGCTATAATGTCCACTAACGCCACCAGTTACTAAACAATCAGCTCATGCGATGACATTGCACGTGGCAACATTGATAACATTGCACATTTTTTTAATAAATTAATCCTTGGCTCTCCATCCGAGTACATTCTTATCGACGAGTCTGCGGAATTCCGGAAACGCTCATGGGCGCTAGGTGCATGTACAGCGTAGCCGCATATTGGTGCTACAGTCAGACCTCGCTTATCCGGTCCTCTTTTATCCGGATCCCTCGCCATCCGGAAGAAAATAGGTTTGTTACGGATTTACAGCATATATCATGCATACATACAGTATGTGTGTTCGATTGTCCGGTTCCCTCGCCTATCCGGATATTTTTTGTGGAAAACGGACGTGTGTGGTTAAGCGAGGTCTGACTCAAACTGACTGTACCTGTATGCACATGCAAATGTATACTGAGTGAGTTGCTTGTGCATCGCTGGCATACGCTGTGCCGCACATTTTTGCCACTGCATCTCAACCATGCAATGATGGACTCTCATAGCAGGGGACTGTCCCCGCGTGTTTTCTGCTGTGGCAAGTGACACCGGACAGGCACAGTGGGCTGGCCTAAGACCATGATTGAGCAACGAGATTCCAGTCCTGCTTGGAAGCGGAAAGATCTGTTTCACCTGTGCTACATATACATCGCATGACCCACAGTGAATTGGGAGCTCTTGGTCTGGCACGAGGAAACATGGATGTGGCAAAGAGGATATTGGCCGTTGGCCTATGGTTGGTGGATCTGATCTACTACAAGCACCCTTCCCCATGGTGTAGGAGCCGCATCTGTCGCCTGATCGTGGGTGGTGGCGCTCCACGGAAGCGAAAAAAGTGGTTCTTGACCCGTGGTTTTGCGGTTTTGAAGTGAAATCGAGAGGGATGTACATGTACGCTTGAAACCACAAAGCTACGCATGTGTGGTCGCTCTGATATCACTCACTCTCTCCAGCACCAAGTCCACGAGGCCATCAAAGCTTATCCACAGCAGTAGTCTGAAAGCAAACAATCAACATCAGACTGGATTTTGCTTGCCACATCTGTACCACTGATGAACCTTGGCCCAGTGGAGCAAGGGCGTGGCCGGTCCCCCTTCAAGGGGGCTGCACGGCTGCAAATGTGTAGGATGGCTGCATGGTGCATGTCATTCATAGTCATTATGTCACCGTTATTTTATGCGCATGCTGAACCAACATGTAGGTAAATTTTTAGGGGGGTGCACGTGCCTCATGCGGGCTATGCGTGTGCTTGCAGTAGCCGTCACAATAGAGTAAACTACCCTGCTAACCTGGTCATCCCCCAGCCATCCGACACCTGTCTTACCCGCCAGGACTCACCAAGCCGGGCGTTTCAACGGAAAATGGCCTCAAAATCCCGTCTGCATCTTTCACTCAAAGTAATGAATATTTTATATGTTGGGGGCTCCCCGCGTGCTAGTTTGTACGTGAAGTGTGTGGGTTACAGTGAGGCCGGGCTACGTCCCAACCGCCTGTGTAGATTCACAGGGAGCACGAATCAGAAAAAAAGTTTGTTGAACGGTCGTTGCTCGGATGACGCCTACACCGTAACTTAGTGGTAGAGCATCACTGGCCATAAGCGAGGGTCTCTGGTTCGAGTCCTGGTGGTGGCAGTCTATCTTTTCTTCAGACGTTTCCCGCTTACATCTTTCCCTGCTGAAACTGATGAAAATCATTGATAGGCGTAAAAGAAGTGTTTACTTGTATACACTAAGGAGGCGTTCGTTTTTGATCTACAGGTTACGTAGAAACTACTTCGTTCGGTAAATGCGTTCCTCTTTTTCTACTCCAAAGAGTAGATTCTAACTTTCTCTACCGGCTCGACCAGGTTCAAGCTGGTAGAAGTCGGTAGAGCTTGGTAGAGGCACGGGGGATTTCCAGACATATCAAGGAGTTGTACACAACTTCATACAGAAGAGAAACATTCCACGTACATATCGTGCAAAACTACTAAATCCGGTAGGACAGCGTTCGCGCGCTTACCTCTACCTTCTACCTATATCGCTAGAGTGACTCTACTCTACTACCAGGTAGCTAACGACGAACACAGCCTAGGTTCATGTGTAGAGGTTCCGAGTTGTGGGCAGTGCCCAGTAACAGGCAGCGCCCTGTGCCAACCTGCCCGGATACGTGGGCTTAGACATATACTCCACAAGTGGTATGTGTAGTATGGTGTGACAACAGTCAACTTTGCGTATAACGACACTCGGCGGGGCATCAGAAAAGTGTCGTTATTCGCGAAGTGTCGTTATACCCGAAGTCTCATTATAGTGTATTCAGGTAGAATGGACTGTGTGCTCTGGGCATGGAAACTCTGTCGTCGAATTTTCGGTATATCCACTGTCGTTATTAGCAAAGTTGACTGTAGATGCATGACGCCGATGCATACGTGTGCGCTGACATCATTCCTCTCATCGTGATCCACTTACATGTTCTAGCAATCCATTCCTCCTTCCCCCTCTAGGCTGTACGTTCATGTCAGTATACAGTCAACTTCGCTAATAACGACATAATTTTCATGCCCAGAGCCAAGTCCCATCCAACTGCGACACATAATTATAATGAGACTTCCGGTATAACGACACTTTGCGAATAAGGACACTTTTCTGATGCCCCGCCGAGTGTCGTTATAAGCAAAGTGGACTGTAGTAGATTGCATGTGTTCTAGGTTCGTTGTCTTATCGTAGCTCAACAGTTAGAACTATTTAAAGGTCTTGGCTCTCTGGTTGGTCTGGTTAGACTAAAGTATACGAAACACTACATGCTGGCACTGGGGTGGGATCCTCCACTGCACTTCAGTTGCTAGGCAATGCAAACACGTGCCCAGCGGAGCTGGACTGGCGGCCAGTCAGGGGGGTCAGGGCGGCATGTCCGGACAACGCAGTTTGACCACTACAGTAAGATCGGGCGCCGAAGAACGCAGGGGCTCGAGCGCAGCCTAGGAAAGTTCTTAAATTTTTGATTCTAGCCAGACCGTTCTTATTCACACGCGCGCGGCGAGTCGAGTGACGTCATGACGTTTGTCATGTATATGTACATGTACATGTAGTGCAATGTACATAGTACAATCATGTACTTCTTAACTAGTGGGTGTCGTAAATGGGAATGACTGTACATATGTACCTGTACATGTACATGTAGCAGTTACTGTTTACACGAGTACATGACATGTACTCACCTCCAATACATGTACAATGTATACAATTTTAAAAGTGTTCTTAAATCTGATAATTCTAGCCTGGACTGTTCTTAAATTTTGCCGGTTTTCCAGCCTGGGTGTTCTTCGGCGAGGTGTTCTTCGGCGCCCGATCTTACTGTAGCGTATGTTTACGCATGCTTAGGAGGTCCTGTGTCCCCAGCCCGGCACCACATAATATACACAAAGTGGGACCGACTATGCCTATGCCATATATGGTATGTCCGGACCAATCAAGAGCCTCTTCTCCCGGTCCTAAACCACAATGTCAGAGGACGTATCAAAATGGCCTCTGGCGATGCATGCAGAGCAGAACATGGTTCTGCATGCGATTTGAAGAGACACGACACGAGCACAACGGACAAGTAATTACCTCAAGCCAGTGTCTGCTCTAGGATTTCAAACCAACCAACCGGGTACAGGTCACGTGTACCTGGCACAACTCTAGCAACCGGGTCAGTCCCGGGTACATTCAAGCGCCGGCATCGTACATCA